AATAGACAAACAAATAACGAATAAACAAATATGAAAAATTTCGAAACCTACCATCGTTGGCCAGACGTTTGTGTGCATGATTTGGTTTTTCTCGTCGATGTTGATAAGAAGCACCAATGCCAAACTGAAAGCCACCTTCAAAAAAAGGTAGATTAGTCGACCAGGATACGCCATGACTTGGAAAATTTATTGAAAAATTAAGAAAGGAAAGTGGCGAACCTCAATCGGAGGTGACGAGGCATTTGGTACTGGACGTATCAGTGAATTGTAGCCGTTGAATAGATCTGTTACCAGTTGATCTTCGTCAAATGAGCACAACACCAACGATACGAGGGCTAAAATGAAAAAATGCGCGCTGAGATGGAGTTCTGGAGAAGAGGGAGCCAGAACACTTGACGCGTCCACTTTGCTCTTCTAAGCCTACCTGTATACTCGCAGACTTGTAGGACTTGTACGCTGCGAATGCTGGGGCATTTCGAAGTGGGGGAGGGACGGGTTTGGCATGGCGGCAGTCTGTTCTCTACCAAATGTTGATGTGGACAAGCGACCGCAATTGGTGGAAAAAGGCCGCGCCGCACTTAAACCCAGCCCCTACACGCCCCAGCATCCGCAGCTAACAAGACTATATCCACTTTGAGGTTTCAGACGTCACCTACCACTTAATAGACTTGGTTAACATTTACGTCTTGCTGGTGAACTCAGCGGGTTTGAGAAGTTCAGCCTCAAATGCACAGTCTGTTATGTGGGCGGAGTCAGGCCTATGATTCCAATGTTCACCATTCCGTCCCAACACGGTAAAGAGGAGTGACCCAACGACATAGGTACGGCAAAGGCCTGACTCCGCCCATCCAGATTGTTCTTTTCGTTGATTGAAAAAACTTCACATTATGACAATTTCCGATCATTGAGGAAATCATTCCAATATTTTTATAAACAATGTTAAGATATTTTGGATAGTGTCGCGGTATTTACTCCCGGGAATGACGCATTTTTCAATAGAGTTTTTCGATGGCTTGTTGTGCTCGTACAGCCATAATTTTATAATATTTATTCATAATCTATAAATACAATGGATCTAATTCAACTAGTCTAGAATGTGGCCGGCGTCGTGAGCAGTTCTTCTGTCGAATTCATGTATTTAGCATTTAGTTGTCTGATAACCTGCAATCAATTTAAGTTGAAAAAAAATCTGTAGTTCTTGGGAGACGTCTCAGATTCAGAGCATGCCCCAAAAACTACACCACGTGATGGGGGAATGGCACTAAATTTTACGCATTATTTGACCGAAAAGCATCTTCAGGAGGTCTTGTACCATTCTTTCTTTAGTCATGACCAATAAAGCGTACCATCATCAACAAACGTAATGTATTTTAGAACTGGGAATATTCGTCACTTTCTAGATGTTTATAAAACACTGCGGACGAGAAAGCACCCATCAGGGCAGGGAAATTGACGCGACTAAAGGGCTTGTGCTCAAGTTGTTCGTAGCCCTACGACCTAAAGTCTACTGCACCACATCATCTAACATTTGCGGTTGCATTACTGACTGAAAACGTACCCGCTCCTGATCAACGAAATCAAAAACGTGTGGTGCAGAACAGATTATGCCGAGAGTTCCACCCAAAGTGATGCCGAAAAACAGGAGAAGAAGCAGTCGGTCGATAACCATGGCCACATACTTCCAGTCGTCACGAGTCTGCAAAGGTCGACGATAGTCATATCAGTCGGTCAGGTCATATTAATCCTAACAATATTTCAAATTTCTTCATAATCGTGACCAGCGTACTGGTACGGTCATCATCATCATGTACAGCATTGGCAATGTCCGTACGACTAAAATACTCCCAAAAGTTGCTATTACAGTATGTCCTTCTACGACCTGCTCTCGGCCTCAACTCCAGTCGCATAGCCGCCCAGATGGCACTTTGGGCTTGGAGTGCAGCCAGAGCAGATTTCACCAACTGCAGCGGACTCAGGATGACATCATTGTTGGAACAATGCCGCCCTGGCTGCGCTCTCCAACCGCGCCGCGTCAAACGCCCAGTTTTCATGGATCACCACTATACCTACCACCTCATCATATTCTTCCAACTGCTTACCAATTTCCTAAAGTTCATCGGTTTACGCCGAGAAATTAGCAGTGTGAAAAGGGATATCCTCTACTATCAAAATTACCTGAACCAATATCAGAACCAGCTGTCAGAGATAGTGGTTGAATAGAAGTCAAGCGCTACTGCCAGGTTAAGAGGCAGGGTCGATGAAATTCTCCTAGCCAGAGTTCGAAGTTGAATTCGTGAGAACACAACGAGAGCTACATTAGACTAGGAAGGGGGCCGTACTTTGCAGTGACAAAAGATTTCTGACATCTGTTTGTTCCCTTTTCCCATGTGCTGGATACTCCCCTCGCGGCTACAATTCTGGAAGAGTTTTGCAACATCGCAAGCGGAATGGAAAATTGGGTTGTACCAGGGGAAGAAACGTGGGGGTCTGAGGGTTTTACAGGAAAAATCCTGCAGTGTGACTGTGTCCCCTGCGCTTAACGATGTACCCTGATGGTCACTGTACCTGATGGCCATTTCCCAAAGCTCTCCTGTCTTACGGTGGTTAGACAGTAAGCTAAAAGGGAAATTCTAGAAAATGAAAAAGAGGATGGAAATTAGCCAGTCACCTTTTTATCATTCATCTCGCTTTTCATATGTTCAGCAATATAGGCAATCGCTTCAACGGTTGTCTTCATTTCACGGCTGATTCTGGCCGCGTGTGTCTCCTTGTTCGCGTTTTTGTCATCCAAACAGGACTCTTGAACTCGCTGGAACAATAAAACTCCATAGAAATATGATATGACCACTTTAATCTGTTAAAGGCAGTTAGCACGATAATTGGTACTCTATCTAAAATGACAGCAGGGGTGGTAAATGTAGGAAAGTGGCGAAATTTTTATACGGCTCAAAAAGCAATTTCAAACGAGTATTTCCCCGTCGGCATCGTGCCAATAACCGCTACGGTAGATACGGGTGCACGTATGTATTTATACCGTGCACCATTGCAGCTGCTTCATATTAATCCATTCGCATCATGTTGTACTTCACAAATGAACCAATACGAACATCAGGATCGGTCGGACACTTGTGGGCGGGGCGGTGGACACTCGGTTCGGTATGTTGTAGCTCGATAACGCAATTTCTAATTTTTATAAGGGCAATTTCTTCGGGAAAGGCGCCACGCATCACTTGTTTAAAGGAGCCGGATCTAGTCCTTGTGGGCGTATTAGTCCTACACGTCTTGGAGATTATAGTGCCAACTGCCTTTAGATTAGCTCTCGTGCTTACCTCATTAGTTCGTTTCCGTTTAGTTGATAACTTTTTCGAAATTTTACGCCATTTTGAGCAATTTTGATGATGATCCTCCTGAATGAGATGCGTCAACAAAGTCCATAAGCTATAAAGCCGTCGAGTAGTTATTGAACTGTGTACGCCCAACGCTAGTGGTGGAAAGGCAACAGGGCGTACTCCTAGCAAGTTGCGGTTGAAATGGGTATATCGTTAGTCATCCTTCTGCTGGAGACGGGCGGTCCCATCGTGCGCTGATGAAGTCTCGCCGCCCACCCTACGCTACTTGACAATTCGCAATGGGAGAGCAGCTACAGCGTCGCCTTTATCTCGCCAGACCAGGTCGCACGTTGGGGAATCTCCAGCGGGGTTGGGGTCGTATTTGGTCGCTGAGGAGGAACAGGGTCGTATTTAACCCGAAAAATTGTTTTTGATTGTTGATTTTCCTTGCTTCAACGGAGCAACAAAGAGGAGGGTTGTACGTGCTCGCTGTTGGGAGAGGTAGCGGTCGTATTAGCTCGTTGTTGGGAAAGGGAGGGTTTCGCATTAGCCTATGAGAGAAATCTGCGGCATTAATTCCCCCCCCCTCCTCTCCCCGCCCCCGCTCCGCCATGGCGTTACGCTTGAATCCCTGCCTACTACATAGCGGACACGCCTACTGTGTTTAACCAAAAATTCGCGAACCGAAACGAAGCACAACCTTCGAACGGTGAGCAAAAATCTTCTCGGCATTCAACGAGGGCTTTTCGGGTGCACCGAACACTTGGCTACTAGGGATTGGATCGGTGTCGTACTGTTGATGGGAACTTACAAAATGGGTTTCAGGGGCCAGCCAGGGTACGGGCTGACGTTATCTCTTACAGAAGTGCACGACAACGACTCCCGACCCTTACTCTTGTTGTAACGGAATCAAGAAGTCCTATTTGATAACTTCTGTGACGTCAGCACAAATTCCCCATAGAACCCATGTAATGCGGCAGGGTGATGTCAGAAGGAGTAAAATGAGCCCATCCGCAGCGTTCAACATCGCTATTTGTTTTCGACCTGAACCGGCCACTATTGGTAGAAAACGCAGCTACTGTTGGGCTCATTCCATACCCCCTGACACCGCCTGCTGGAATGCAACAATACAATATATAATATGTGTATAGTCTTGGTTGTTACGGATGGGGGGGGGCGTGTCGTGAGGCTGGGTTTGGCGCTCCGCCAGCCCGTTCTCCATCCATCGTTGTCGCTCACCCACTTCATCAATTGATGAAAAACAGGCTGGCGCCGCGCCAACCCCCCCCCCCTCGACACGCCGTCTGCAGTGAACAACAGCATACAACCTCACCTCGTTAATCACAGGTTCCTGAGGAACAGGTGTTTCCACACGCAGAAACGGAACCATCGTTGCTGTTACTGAGGGCATCACAAGACCTGAATTTTTGAGAGATCAAAATCGACACTACCAGTTCATTGCGATGAGTATAACTGCTTATAGGCTGCTTAATTAAGGATAGCAGAAAACGGAAATGCTCGACTTTTATCCAGATTTGGCCT